CTCTAGTAGTTTGACATAAGGTATATGGGGTGGAAGCAGAGCCTATAAGTATAGGGAGCAATGGTCTGAGTGCATCTTACAGAGAGCAGACACAGCTGCAACTTGTAGCCTATATTGAAGGCTTTGCATAAATTTACTCTTTTGTGAAGGACCTATGATAACAATTGCTTTCCTTTGGATGTTATCCAGGGCTGCCAGAGATATTGCGGAGTCACCCATCCAAGAAAGTGCTGCATATTCCATGATACTCCAAACCTGTGACTTGTACACACATACTCTCCCAGGACTTTCTAGTTTAATGCTGTCAGATGTAAGGCCCAGGATGTCTAGGTGTTTATGAACAGCTAGTTGACATCTTCCAAGGAAGAGACTGTGGGTTTTTAAACCTTGAGGGTTTTTAAACCTTGTTTGCTTGGGTTTGTTGTGGAGGTGGCTGTTGTTTCTTCTCCACAGAATCAGTTCTGGGTTAAATTAACAACAACATGAGATGAAAGAAGCTTCAACAAAATATCACTGTGCTTCTTGCTGAGATAAACATCCCCTTGCAGCTCATCAAGAGAACCATCCAGTAACATATAACACAGTAAGAGTCCTGGCAGTATAGATATTAAATTATTTTGGGAAATTGCTATAATGTTTTTGTAAAAACAATATAGTTTAAAATTTCATCATTCTGTGGATTTCTAAAACAATATCATAGTACCATATTATCTCATGTTAATATACCATTACTGAAGGCATTTGGCACTTGTCTGTTGGCTAAATGCAATGCTGTAGGTGCACCATTTGATGCTTTTCTGCATAAGCCTGAATCCACTGAAACAGATCATCAAAATGAGTGGGTATGTGTACAGAATCAAGAACAGAACAAAGGCCTTGACTGGCACTTTCCACATCTACAGCACTAATTGCCTGCCATCCACTCAGGTGACCTGAACACTGAGGAAGTTAGACTTTCCATATTGTCCCTTTAACCTCCATCTACTCCAACTCTTAAATAGTATACATCAGTTCAAATAAATACAGACACATTACATGGAGATCTTTGTACCTAATCCACAGTAATGCTTGTTTATATGTCAGAACAATTGTGGCGGTTGATCCTAAGGAATTTGATGGACTAAGGAATTTGGTGCTATACCAAAAATCCTCATTGTAGAAATAAAGGTAACTGGAGCTATTAAATAGTGACTAGAATACTAGCTGTCAAGCTAATACAGTCATTCATTCATCCATCATCAGTAACCATTTCATCCTGGTCAGTGTTGCAGTGGATCTCAGGATCATAGTATTCACCCTGGATGGGATGCACACATTCAAATACATATTCACACCTAGGGCGCAATTTACAGTCACCATTCCACCTACCAGCATGCTTTTGGGAGGTTGGTGGAAACTGAACAACCCAGAGGAAGGCAGACATGGGGAGAACATGTGGACCCCCATACAGACAGTACAGAGGTGTGGATCAAATCAGGAGTCCTGGAGCTATGAGGTGGCAATGCTACTCATTGTGCCACCATGCCACCCCAAGCTAATTCAGTATTTTAATAATTATTAATAGTTACATTTTTGGGCAAGTTAATATTTCACAAAATAATTCACAAAATACCCCAACAATGCAATTTTGCCAAACTGTTTTTATGCTTATGGTTGTACATGACCATGTCTTTAACTAAGACATGACCCATGGAAGTCGTTGTCTTGAAAACCACTTAATAAAACCCTGAACAATAAATAAACTGTTTTCTTGAGGTTAAATTAGTATTTTATTATTATTTGTTAATTATTATTTTACAGACAGAGTAAATGGCCATCTTGTTGTCTGTCAGAATTGTGGAAGATTTTTGTCGTGTTATTTCACTAGTTGCAATTTTTAACATTATATAAACATTAAGTTTTTAACATTATACAAACTTTTCAAACATTTTCTAAAGTAGTGTGACCAGCTATACTAAAGAGAATTTCGAAGGGTCATTGGCATTCTTACCAAGTCCCACATGATTTATTTCACTTGAATATCCCTATGCCTTATCAAGTTAAGCACCCACTCTACCAACTGACAGGGCAGCAGCTTGACTCACAATGCCCGGTTGACGCCAGTGTAAAGCACAATGAAGACCTAAGGGTTCTTAAGCAGAAAATCATTCCATGCTGTTTACGTAAGGGGCAAGTCAATTCCTTACACGCAAGGCTTTGACTTTGGATAAGCCTAAAGGACAAACAAAGGACAGAATAAAGACTGCTTTAGAAAATTATTGTGAAACCTTTTAAACTTTTGTGTGAAGGAGAGTAATATGAAACCTTCCCGCCACCTTGGCCATGAAACAAAGAACTAATGACAATCAATTAAACTGCATTTGGTGCTCTGAGTACCTCATCATACAAGTTGTTTAAATAAATGCATTTCCAGACATACAGGACTTTGCAAAAGTCTTAGGAACATGTAAAGAAATGCTGTAAAGCAAAGACCCCTTCAAAATGTATGAAATTAAACGTGTTCTACATAAGTATCTACTATAAACAGCAGAGTGTACAGTAGTAAATGAAATAAAGTCAATATTTGGTGTGACAACCCTTTTTTCTCAAAATGTGTGTGGGTTTTAAAGAAAACTGGATTTGAATTCATGCCAAATTTTGTTGCCAGTGGACAAATATCTTGTAAATGCTGAAGTACTTCACAATAGTCAGCAAAGTCACTTATGAACCTTTTTATTTGGAGGAAAAAGATTATTAACAAAGGGTCCTGTTTGAAAAGAGTATGTAAAAATGTCAATAAATACCTAAATACCATACAAAAAATACCACTCTTTGAATGCAATGAACAGAAAAAATATTCAGAACATTTTCCTAACATTTAAAAACAAATTTAAATAAATATGTAAAATGATCTATATTTAAATCTTAAAAAATAGCTAAACAGTCACATGTAAAATGTATTAAAGTGACAGTAAAAAAAGTAAAAACCAAAAAAAGTAAAAAAAAAAAAAAAAAAATTTCTAACAAATAGCACTCTGAATGCAATGAACAGCAAAACTAATCTCGTTCACAAAATCAACAACTCAAAAACACTCAGAAACACACGACATATCAGTCACTTTAGAAATATGTGAATTAACAATTAACCAACCGAAATGAAAGAAAAACCTTAGGAGAATTTAATACATTTACTTAAAGTTATACATTCTAATATTTCCAATATTTTGGATATTTGGAAAAATCCAAAAAATGCAAAGTTAATGAATTGCTTTTGATGGCAGACTCTAAGGCCAGTGAGAGCAAAGTGTAACTGGAAAAATACAGTTTAACCCTTCATTGAATTGAGTGAAATATTTCAATAATTTAAAGATTAAAAATATTGATATTTTAATATAAATAAATATGTTTAAAATATTACCACTTTAATTTCTCTGTCAATATAAAAAATAAAAGAACTAGATTTCAAATTACAAATTCCCTTCTGTTTGAGTTTTTCTAGTGACATCCCCAATTTAATAAATATAAACATAAATAAAAAAAATGTGCAGTAAATATATCAATTTTACCTTTGATTTCAAGAAAGTAGATATGACATGGCCTTATCACATGACAGGAAGTAAAATTCATGTGTTCCTACCAAAGCTATTCATATAATTGTAATCTTTCATGTGCAACCCTCAAAAATCTTTATAATGCTTACTACATTTTTTGAAAGAGAAAATAGGATTATAGTCTGTAGCAAATACAGTTTCCCTGGTTTCCCTAAACGGGATGGCATTTGTCCAATGGAAAGTGTTACTTTTGTTATAAACTCTTATTTTTTTTTATAAACTGAACATAAGAAAATGCAGTTCATTCATTCATTCTTTAATTTTCATTAACTACTTTATCCTCGTCAGGGTCGTGGTGGATTCGTAGCCGATCCCAGGATCAATAGGCATGAGGTAGGAATATACCATGAATGGGATGCCAGTCCATTACAGGGCACCATGCACACACACCTTAACACAATCATTCACACCTAGGGGAAATTTAGCATAGTCAATCCACCTACTGGCATGTTTTTGAGAAGTAGGAGGAAAGCGGAGAAAATCCACATGGACACAGGGACAACATGCACAGAAACTTCACAAAGATAGAAACTTGAGGTCAGGATTGAAGCAGAGACCCTGGGGCTGTGAGGCAGCAACAGTACCCACTGTACCACTGTGCTGCCTTAAACGAATCTGAAATGGGTAATGTGGAATTGAAAAAACAAAGCTTGATTTTGAGTATTACAAAAGTTGTTAAACGAGAGTAAACTTGCTCATAGTAGTCATGTGATGAGGATTTTCATAGTAATATTGCAATTCATTTCAAGAAAATTATCCAGATTTCTTCCCTTTTTGGACATATAGTGGATATTAAAGACTGGTTCGATTCTGATCATACTTTGTTGTTACAATATTCTCTCACAGGTAAACCTCAGGATGCATATACTTTTCTACACCTTAGAGATATATGCAATGGTTAAATCTAGAATTTATTAAAGATTCAGTAATACATTTTAATTGTTATTTTTTGGAACTGTTAGAACATTGAATGATTTATCAGTATCCATGCAGCAATATATTGGAAATATACTAGCATTCTATAAGACATATTTCAATGCCTGGCATTGTCTTGGTCATATCTCATCATATTAGTCTTTTGTATTTTTTAAATTTTAAATTGTCTCTTGCTTTTATTGTATATCCTATTACATTTCATTCTTTTACCTTCAGTGACCACTTTATCCTGTTCAAGGCCGCGGTGTATCCGGAGACTAACCCTGCAACACTGGGTGCAAGGCAGGAAGATTCATCCTGGATAGGTGGTCAATCCATTGCAGGGCACCATTCACACATACATTCACATCTAAGGGCAATTTCAGGCTAGCCAATCTGCCTACCTGCATGTATTTGTGCAGTGGGAGGAAACTGGAGAACCCAGAGAAAACCCATAAGAATATTGGGAGAACATGCATAACTCCATTCAGACAGTAACCTGAGCTCAGGATTGAACAGAGGACCCTGGAGCTGTAAGGCCACAGCGCTATCCACTGCACCACCATGCTGCCCCACCTATTTGACAGACAGACAGACAGACATACAGACAGACAGACAAACAGAAAGAAAGAAAGAAAGAAAGAAAGAAAGAATTTTCTACCCCTGAGTTTTTTTTCAAGTTTGAAAGGTGAATACTAGTGTTTATAGGCAGCGGTCTCTGATACTTCCACTTAACAAAAAAATCTGGCAATAGTGAACTACATGCAGGTAATTTGCATACTCTGAATGGTGTGCCCAGTAAACCAACTTCTGAATCTGAATCTGAATAAAAATCAACTGAATACAGATAAATTTCAGGTAAATTTTGATTTTTGACTTGTTGCCAGGTGTGAATGTGGCCCATGATGTGTTGCAACTATTGATGCACAAAGTGATTTAAAAAAAATTGTAACTAAATGATTAAATAATGCTAAAGTACTCCATTAAGTCTACCAGGGTTAATGATCTGCAAACATGGACAATGGAAAAGCAAAACACTATACACTACCCCATACCCACCTTGGTAATTTCCATGACCAAGGTGTGTATGGGGTAGTGTATTTCAGTGACATAGCTTTGGTGAGGGCTGGAGTGGCTAGTGCTTCAATGATGCACCAATGCACCAATGATGTGGCGACACACTTCAGCCATGAGATGAGCCACTCTGCTGGATATCAGACACAGCCCACCTCAGCCCACCTCTCAGTAACAGATAAGAGCCTATCTCTACAAACCAGATACACAAACAATTTAAGATAAACAGCAGTAGGGCAGAAAAAAAAGTTTAATGTTCTTTTTTTGACACTTTCCCTCCCTATCCATACACAAGAATGTTCATAATATTAAAGGTTGACAAAGATGGGTGGGCTATTCTTTCAAAATAAATAATTGATTTTAAGTAATACTTCTTGTGCTCAGGTGACATGGTTTACAATTTCTTCATACAATTTCTACACTGTGAAATACTGAATTAGTGGTTTGAACAGTTCAGCTCAGCAAATGACCCATAAGCCTCCATGTTATCACTATTTTCAACAACAAGCTATGCCATACTTAAGTACCTGTGCTGAATATGGTTACCCCTAGCCCACGTATCATGCGAGCTGAACCAGGACATATGGGTGTAGCTAAAAATAGTGCACACCATCGACAGATCGAACAGACATCCTGATTAATGCCATTGGCTGGACTTGCTTCTCTGCAACACAGTAGGAAATTGTGTTGTCTCTGCCAGAGTTTCTCACATTTTCTCAAAAGTCCTTTTAATGTTGGATTTAAGAGTCCGATTATTTAAGTAGTTTAAAACAAATTAATTGTTCAGCTTCATTTTTATTTAATAAAGTAACAATTTCTTATTGCTATGTAACTTGGTCATACATTTCTTCCATATGATTCATGTAAAATCAGCTAACCTCTATCATGCACTCTACATAAAGTATAGCATAATAGAGCTGAATACCCTATCTAGTATCCTCACAAATAGTTTAAAAAGACATAAGATTCATAGATATGACATAGATTATTTTTAACATTGCCTGTAGAGATTTGCACTCTTCCATATTTAAGATTAAAGCATTAGCACAGGGCTGTTTTTGGGAGCATAGTCAGCCACTAAGTGTAAGTTTGCTCTTCTGTATTTTCACTCAACATGAAAGTAATGTCACTCTATGACATTAAAACAAACAAGCATCAGTTGCGGACAGAGAAGATGCGGGTTTAACCGGCAAGTAACATGTGATGATTCTCACATGTCTTATCGCCAGTCTACTTATTTGTGTCTCTTTGCACTTTCAGTGACTCCCGTAACCAGCAAAAGAGAGATATACAGTAGCTGATATATCTGCGCACACACACACACACACACACACACACACACACAGCATGCATATGAACCTTGAAGGTGAACGGGGCAAAAGCCGCAAGCTTGCGACAGCCCCTTTTTCATTTAGTTTTGAAAAGCGGACTGAAAAGCACAGTGATGATATGGACAATATGGTGACATGGAAGAGTCCCCACTTTGTGAAATCATCAAGTCCCTTATCAGCCTCCACCAAACCCAACACCAAGCGCTTCTTGACCTGGGCCACGAGCAGCAGCTGCGCTTTGAAGCCCTCATGCAGCCAAACATGGGAGGCACTCCAGAAGCTGCTGCAGCCAACCACATATCCAGATGTGTCCCCTGCCACCGTGCCACATTTGACGCTTATGAAGATGGCCTCCATGGACAATCTGGAGGCCTTCTTGGAGAATTTTAAGTATGTGTCAGCTGTTTGGGAATGGCCAGAGGAGGAATGGGCTCTGCAACTCCTCCCCTTGCTATCAGGGAAGCCCAGTTTGCCCCCCAGCAGCTGGGGCCACAGATGCCTCTTCACCTACTCGTCGCCCCACAGGTCACGGCTTCACCTACTCACAGCAACTAAGGGACTCTTGTCACCAGTGGTTGATGGAGGAGGAGTGGGATGCGAAACAAATCATCGAGCTGGTGGTGCTCTAGTAAATCATCACTCGACTCCCGACAGGAACAGCAGACTGTGTCCAGTGCCACCGGCCCGTGTCCCTAGACGAAGCCGTGCAGCTGGCGGAGGATCACTTGGCGGTGGTCCAGGCATCCCCATCCCCCAGTTCCAGCTCACCTGAAACCAACACCCTGTTTCCACCTCGCTTTTCCTCCCCTGCCTTTCTAATATCTCCCCATGGTTTGTCCCTCTCTCTCCACAGGGGGAGGATCCCATGCTGACCAGAGCTGGGGCAAAGCCCAGGCAGGTTTGTTGGTGCCGTGGGGAAGCTGGGGATCAGTGTTCACTCATAGAGGTGGGAACTGAGGACATGCCTCAGGCCTCCACGGATCAAGTAGGAACATACCGCATACCGGTGAGTATATAAGATAATATAAGAGAGTACACATTATAAGTATATAAGGGAGTACACATCAGGCCTTTTTGGACTCAGGGTATAATCAGACCTCTGTCCACCAAAGCCTGATTCAGTGAAAGGCTTTGGGAAATGCACATTTGGTGAGCGTGAGGTGTGTGCCCATAATAATACATTTCCGGGACCAAATGCATAACATGGAGGTGGTGGTTAGTCCCAGCCTCACCCATCCACTTATTTTGGGAACAAACTGGCCAGGTTTTAAGAAAATGATAAAAAAAATATATATATAATAATATATAATGGTCGATGTCTCCTGCCACAGTGCAGTGAGGTGTGGGGTGTGTGCAGCTCTGGCTGGGGAGGCGGTGCCAGGGCCGTCAACATCTGTGCTGTGTCATGATGACTTGGAGAAATGGGAGGGCCACTGACCTGACTTCATTGGATTTCCTCTAGGATTTCCCCTTGGAACAGATGAGTGATGAGTCCCTTTGCCAAGCCTTTGACAAAGTGAGAGTAATCAATGGTCAAATAATCCAGCCAGAACTTGCACTCACCTAGCCCTATTTTTGGTTATTAAAGATAGGTTATATTGAGTGACACAGGACACTCAATCTAAGGGAAAAATGACCCAATTGTTGGTACTGAAGAGTCGTCAGGACATGTTATTCCAGGCAGGTCATTATAGTCCCATGGCAGGGCATCCAAGACAGGATGAAACACTCAACCATCTAATGGCTCATTTTTATTGGCCTTTGCGGCGATGTATGCAGTTGGTGTGAGGCATGTAGCAAATGCCAGCTGGTGAATCTGCAGGCCACCCCAAAAGCGCAATTGTGCCCATTACCCTTAATCGAGGTCCCTTCGAAGGAATTGGTATGGCCATTAGAGAGATTCACGTGAGGGTATTGCTTTGTGTTAGTCATAGTGGACTATGCAACACGATCTCTGGAAGCAGTGTGTCTTCACAACATCTCAGCACGTAGTGTCACAGACTCACTCTTCTGAGTAATCTGCCGAGTCGGAATCCTAGAAAGAGATCCTGACTGATCGGCGTGTGTCGTTTATGTCACACACTCTCCACAAATGAATTATTAGAGATTAAACCAATTTGCACCAGTGTTTACCATCAGCAAACAGATGGGCTGGTCAAACGGTTAATCAAATGCTTAAAAATATGATTCATAAGTTCCTGCACGAGAATGCCCAAGAATAGCAGTACCAAACGTATGACAGGGGTACTCAGCAACGAGAATTTGCACCAGGAGATAAAGTACTTGTTTTACTACCCACTTTGAGCTTTAAATTACTTTCAAAGTGGCAAGAACACTTTGAGGTCACAAGGCAAGTTAGAGAAGTCGCTTATGAGGTCAGGCGATAGATGTGCCACGCATTGATGAACTCCTCGATCGGTTGAAGCGCAGCTCACTTTTATTCGACACTGGATTTAACCAAGGGGTACTGGCAGATTCTCTTGACTCCAATATCTAAAGAAGAAATGTAACCCTCCATTTGGGTTACACCAGTTTGTCACCCTTCTGTTTGTTTTGTTTGGAGCCCCAGCAACATTTCAACATTTCATGGATAGAATACTCCACCCACAAAGTGCATATGACACTGCTTATTTAGATGACATCATCATTTACAGTAATGATTGGCAGTGGCATTTACAATATCTGAGGGCTGTCCTGAAATCCTTCAGATGGGCAGGACACACAGCAAATCCACAGAAGTGTACAACTGGATGGGCGGAAGTATGGTATCTGGGCTTCTGCTTGGGCCATGGGAAGGTGTGTCCCTAAATTGATAAGACAGCAGCGATTGTGGCCTGCCCGAGGTCCAAGACAAAAAAGTGGGTGGGATAGTTCCTGGGGCTGGCTATTATTGGAAGTTTGTACCTAATTTTTCAGATGTCAACAGCCCACTGACTGACTTCACTAAAAAGGAGCACCAGATCCAGTCCATGGGATGGAACCATGCAAGCGGGCTTTTTGCCAGGTAAAAGCGGTTTAGTGTGGGGGGCCTGCTGTTGCATTTTGCTGACTTTTCTTACCCTTTTGTTCTGCAGACTGATGCGTGAGACAGAGTGCTAAGGGCTGTTGTTCCAGGTGGTGGAGAAGGAGGCATGCCCTGTGCTGTACATCAGCCAGAAGCTTTC